TGGCCTTGCTACTTTAATACTTACAGCCTGTGGTAAATACAACGGGGGCTAATTGGTACACCGTTCTTAGACTAATTAATCTTGTTAATGTGGTAACAGTCAGAAATAAAATTGAGTGAATATTCCCTTTTCCTCATTATGATTTGCGGAGAGAGGAGAGAGCAGCGAAGAAGTTTTGGCAGTTAAAAATAAAGAATTACGCTTTGCTAAATTATTTGAAAGCATCTTCATTATGATGTTATATTATGTATGTTAATATAAATGGCTAGAGATGCAAGGAGAAAAGGGCTCTGCTTTTTTTCTGATTGGGAGGAGAACAACCAGCGAGGAGCTGTTTGAGTCAAATAACGTTCAGCGTTTTATATTACCAATAGTTTTCTCTTTCCAAACGATACTTCCCTCCTCTTTTGGGAAAGATCAGCCAACGTGATGCAAAAGTTTACGTTATAATGCATAGTTTTTAATGTCTCGGGGTTTTTCCAGAGCCTGCCTGCTACAAGGAGTTGCCCGTTTTAACCAGATTGTCGATGTGCGCGGGCAGAAACTCGCCAGGTAACCCGAGCTCACAAGGAGTTCCTACCTGGTGGTTGTTTTGGTCCATTGCAAAGTCACTGGGGAGGGGGGAAATTAAAAGACGCGTGAAAGCAACACTGAGTCTCGTGTGATGCACCGTGAAAGGCACAAAACGGAATGGGACCTACTGTAACTGCTAATGTTACACATCACCGCGTTTTACAGCACGTAAACGCTTATACGCGCAGCAGCAGACGCGCGTAACTTATTTCCATGTTAACCTATGATGAGATTTGTACACTTCTAGCATCATAACGCATGTATGCGCGAAGCCCCCACTCCTGCGCTCTAATTTTAGGATGGATTTCTAATGTTTGGTGCCAGCCCAACGCTCTCCCAATTGAGAACTCATTAATACATGATTTTCTAGCGGGTCCTTGCTCAGATTGCATCTAGCCACACACAAAGCAACGTGATGTCTAAAACATCATCAGGTGGAGCACAGGTTTACAGTGATTCTGGATATCGTTTTTTTTCTTTCATAAAGTCTTGCGTCTGGCCAACCAGCGCACAACGACCATGAGGACAAACACATGCATGTTTATGTGTGTTGCTCTACCTCAGTCCTCTGGCCCTTACTGTCCTCTAGCACTGCTCCATAGACAACACAGGAGACAGTATGGCCAGAGGACTGATGTAGAGCAACTCACATATCCTGCATGAGTTGGTCTCAGGTCTTGGTGGCTCGGGGTTTGACAACGCAAGACTTTATGAAAGAAAAAAAACGATATCCAAAATCAAAGGAAAACCTGCTGGCTCCTCCAGCTGATGTTAGACACAAGTTGCTGTTGTGTGTGTAGATGCAATTAAGCCAAGGACCGCTATAAAAAATCCATGGTTTAACATGAGATCTCATGGGAGACGCTTGGTGGCGCACAAAATTCGAAATCCATCCTAAATAGAGCGCAGCTTCGCGTCCATCAATGCGTATGATGCTAAAGAAGTGTAAGAAATTTTTATTTATCCAATCATAGTTAACATGGAAAAAAGTTACCGCGCGTCTGCTGCGCGTATAACGCGTACGTGCTGTAACGCGTGATTGTAAATTAGCATTTACAGTAGGTCCCATTCCTGTTTTGTCGCCCTTTCACGCGTGAATCACACGAGACGCACGTGTGATTCACGCGGTCTTTTATTTTCCCCCCTCCCTAGACGTTGCAATGACCAAAACAACCACGAGGTGGCATTGTTGAGCAGGGTTACATTGGCGAGTTTCTGCCCCGCGCACAGCGACAATCAGGTTAAAACGGGCAACTCCCTTGTAGCAGGCCAGTCTCTGAAAACCGCAGACATTAAAACTACTGCTTATAACGTCAAACTTTTTGCATCACGTTGGTGGATCTTTCCAAAAAGAAGTATATCGTTATGGAAAGAGAAACTAGTGGTAATAATAACCTGGAACGTTATTTGCCTCAAACACTCCGCTGGTGTTCTCCTCCACTCAGAAAAAAAGCAGACGCCTATTCTCTGGCATCTCTAACATTTATAAGAAATAACATAAATATAACAATCATAATGAAGATTGCTTTCAAATACTTTAGCAAGCTGTAATTCATTTATTTTAACTGCCAAACTTCTCTCGCCAGCTCCTCTCCTCTCCTCCGCAAATTCACGAAATGAGGAAAAGGGAAATTCACTCAATCTAATTTTGAATGTTACACATACAATATTAATATAGTCTAAGCACGGTAACCACATGTAGCCCGTGTATTTCCACAGACTGTAAGTTATTAAAGTACAATGCAAGATTAATTTTTTAAATTCCAAATCAGATTAATTCAGCACAGTACTATCCACTCAGTAAGAGGAATAAAACAGTTTTTGAATTATGAAAATCGGATTAAGTGGTTATGATTTTATTACCATATTGAAAGTGCTTTTATGCGCTTATATGAAAGTAATTTGGTTTAAAACAAAGGGATACTGTGGAACCTCTATTCAGCCAGTTTCAAGCCTTTATTCATTTCTTCTAAAGTGCTGTAACTTCCTATTTTACTAACTAAAACATTACAATTCACAGTAAAGAAGTAAACAATTCCAGGTGATGTTGAATTCGATATGCAATTTTACAATTTGCCGACACGCCGACTTCCAAATGGGCCTGCCAGCTTATCCAAGATGCTGCCAACATGAAAAACCGGAAAACATTTTTTTTCAAAATACTAATGTAAAATATCAAAATAAAGGTAAGCAATCTAAATATGATCTTAGAAATGATTATGGGCATATGCACACACACAACGTGTTATTTATGAGACTAAAATTACAGACCGCACTGTTTAAACATGTGTTATTTATGAGAGTTAATGTGTTGTGTTGTAAAAGAGGTGTGGGGGGGTGTGTGTGGTGTTTGTTGTAAAAAAAAAAAAATTTGTTTAAATTTGAAAAAAAAGTTACAGACCCAGCCTTTGAAACATGTTATTAAGAGACTAAAGTTACATACCACAGCTTTAAACATTTTATTAAAGTGAGACTAAATTACAGACCCGAGCTTTAAACAATGTTATTAATGAGACTAAAGTTACAGACCTCAACTGTAAACGTTATTAATGTGACTAAAGTTACAGACACCCAGCTTTAAACAGTGTTATTTATGAGACAAAGTTACAGACCTCAGCTTTAAACATGTGTATGTATGAACTACAAGTTACAGACCTCAAACTTTAAACATGTTATTTATCATGACTAAAGTTATTACAGACCTCAGCTTTAAGCATGTTATTTATGAGACTATAGTTTACAGACCCGAAGCTTTAAACTGTTTAACAACCCAAACGACCCTTGTTTAACATGTAAAATGGATAGGCCAACCAATGGCATTGGTCGTTTGGGCCACGTGACTCGCGTTTCGACCCCCCGGAAAAGTGGACTCGCCCGGGACTGCCTGCCGCTTCGCATCAGAGCAGAGTGTGTGATGAAGCCGCGTCGGTTTTTCAACTTTATTCACTGATCCGCGGGTCAAAATAACCGTGACATGATTCAAATATACCATCATTCTAAAGCTTATAATCTTAGTTGTAGGTGTGTGTGTTGGTTTCGAGTATGATACAAGATATATATGCGCAGTAATAAGTGATTCTGTTTACCCAGATATCCCCTCGCGGCGACGTCATTAACCCGCGCGAATGCCCGAGGATAATCCCGATACAAGATACAAGATATATTGCTAATTAAAGCGAGATGATACAAGATATATATATTCCAATCCTTCATATACTGTAGTGGAGGTGAAACTCAGAATACTAGAATAATGTTCAAAAATGTATTTATTTATGTCATTCATCGTAAAACTCCTGGTGCAGACGGCTCCTTAGATGACGCTTCTTCAGCTGGTTTCATCTGCATCCATCTCTATTCCTGGTTTTACAGTGTATCTACTTTATTTTATCTGATCCAGTGATGGAAAGTTTGAAACGGAAAATTCTAGGTTGAAAAAAATCTGGTGATAAAATGAAAGATTGTTTTTACTTTTCTCTGAGTAACTGACTCTAACAGTCATATTTTCAGACATTACTGATTGCGCGCTGTTTTTCTAAATTATTAAACAATTGTTCGTAACTTAAAGCTGAGGTATACAACATTAATTTCAAAACTACTGTATTTTGTTTTTTGGCCAAAACGTCTTATTAAAGTAAAATGTTGTGAACAGATCAAACCGCAACACTGCTTCGTTAACTCATTAGAAAACATGTATTATTTAGCATACATTTTTATCAGCTTTTCACCCTTCATGTATTTTTTGATGCATTTATGTTATTCTGATTCTTTTGCTTTGTTTTGCTGTTTGTGGTTTTGTATCTTTGAGGTTTCCTGGGAATGTAAGGTTCACTACAAATAAAATGTATTATTGTTATTATTGTAGCCGTGTTCACACCGCCAACCCTTGAACGCACCATCCAAACGCACTGGACCCGCATTCTCTAAATTTCATCTGCGTGAGTTTAGAAAATCTTTTGTACTGCTCTGCGATGGGGAAAAACACAGGGCGGATGTGGCGGGCAGGCTTTGATTCTTTGATGCTAACGGTGTTAGGCTAGCGGCTTAACTGAGACTTTATATAACAGCAGTATGTGTTCACAAAGCAACAATAAATCATAAACTAGAAAATTTGGCTCTGGGGCAAACAAGATTAAAAGATAAATAGAATCAGAAATGCAGAAAAATAAAAAAATCTTTTCTTAAAATGATTCATATATTCAAGCGCGCTAAGTACACGTGTTTCTAAATTAATTAAATAATGTGGCTGTTTCTTGAGAAATGAATTTAAAAAAAGGTCTAACATGTCACCATCAAAGCTACAACTTTGATGGTAGGCTACAATCTTTTCGGAGGCCTCTGAGACTGGTCTTTCGAGCCGGATTCTTCCCGTGGGCCTGAGTTTGACTTTTCTGCTTTAAGTGATTAACAAGAAACAAAATGTGGTGTTTATGTGTTTATATTCTCTCCATAGGTGCTTCCTCAGACTCAAGATCAGTGATTGTGACCCAAGATAAAGAAGTGACAGTGGAAGAAGGACAAACGGCTGAAATCTCCTGCTGCTGGACAGAGGAGTACGAAAGAACAAGAGTGACCTGGAAGAAAAGTGGAAAAACAGTTAAAATTGAGACTATACACACAAATTGTTCAAAATTAACCTTTACAAACGTCTCTAAAGCTGATGAAGGCACTTATATCTGTAATGTAACCACGGAGATACCGTTATTAAGATCCGGGTTATCAAATGGAACGGTCGTCAGAGTGAAATCTAAAAATGAGACGGTGTTGGACCATGAAACCAGTGAGTGAAGTAAATATGTTGTTTACAGTAATCTGCTCACGTCCTGAAGTGTGTGTTTGTGTTTTGTGTAGATACAGAGGAAAGCACTTCACTCTATGCCTTAATCGGGCTGGCAGTGGTGGCACCAATCCTCCTGGTCGCACTGATCTGTGTGTGTCGGCTGCAAAAGAGACAAGGTGAGTGTCCGGTCCTCGTTCTACAGTCTGAGTCCTGGGTCTACAGCCTCAGTCCTGGGTCTACAGCCTCAGTCCTGGGTCTACAGCCTCAGTCCTGGACCCTTTAATGATGACACATTGTGGCCCTTTAATGATGAAAGATTAGGGCCCTTTAATGATGCCATATTAGGGCCCTTTAATGATATATTAGGGCCCTTTAATGATTTGACATGAAAATCTTGCTACTTTAAGTTTCTGTAACATTCCTTCTTTAACACAAAGAAAATTCATATTTTTTGTATTTTCTCATTTCTCTGATGTTTGTGTCGCAGCTGGGGCCGCCAGAGTCATCTACGAGGTTCCACACTTTGACTCTGAGACGCAGGACATGGAGAAACACAGCACCGGGTCGAGCGGCTCCTCACAGTGGGTCAGTTCAAACACGCAGCAGCCTCCTGATTGGACGAGATTATTAGAACTCTGTGAGGTCATTGGTCCAACTGTTCTCCTGGTGGTTTTTCCACCAGGCACAGGACTAATGTGATGGTACTTCCTGGTTCTAGTCAGGACTAATGTGATGGTACTTCCTGGTTCTAGTCAGGACTAATGTGATGGTACTTCCTGGTTCTTGTCTGGACTAATGTGATGGTACTTCCTGGTTCTAGTCTGGACTAATGTGATGGTACTTCCTGGTTCTAGTCAGGACTAATGTGATGGTACTTCCTGTACTTACACCGGTTTTTAACATCAAATTTCAAAAGGCTCTGAAATAGTCTTTGAGCATCCTCCTTTGTGAAGGAAACAACAATATGACTGTTTGAATAGCTCGCTTGCCATTGACGTCACGTCCGCCTCATTACATATGCGTGGTGGTCGCCGAGCTAGTTGTTCACTTTAGCAGCGTGTTGAATATGCCTTTTGCGTGTGTTGTTTTAGGTTGTTTAAATTGATCGAATCGCGAAACCTTTAATGGATACTTTAGGATTCCTCGTGAAGAGATTAATAAAGAGCCTCACACTAAGGACTTTACGAAAAGACGCAGGAAAAGTGTCTCGCTAATATTTCACTAGCAAACGCTTTTACCTCGAAGTATTATTTATTTACCCAGCTATGCAGTCACAATGCACAGTTATTACATCCCCAACTTTATTTGATTAATTGTCAGGTATGAGTTAGTGTTTTAGATAAACACTGTGAATGTTTGACCTGAAAAGAACACAGCTCACATGTTGGTGCATCGTCTTGTTGAGAAAACACCAATCGTTACTTACACGGCTCTTTACGATGCAGGATGTGTCTTTCGGGACCTTAACTCTGAGTTCCTTAACCCACAGACAGAAGTTGCAGCATCCATGGATACATTTGTTTAGCAGTGCAAAACTAGATAGATTGAGATATCCAGAACTGAACTGGCGGATATTTTTCTAACTCGCAAATCAAATTATACTCCGATAACGCATTAAGATCATACTAGGGTCTATACCGTTACACAATTTGACTTTTACGATGTATTGATCTCAAGAATTAGAATCTAAAGTGAAGAAAATGACAGTCTAGGATCGTGTCTTTAATTCAGACAAAAGACATGTTTTATTGTCGATGGTAGAGACAGAACAAAGACGTTACAGAATGTAAGTGATATTATACAGCGGAGGAATGGAGACTTACAGTGCCTTGCGAAAGTATTTGGCCCCCTTGAACCTTTCAACATTTCGCCACATTTCAGGCTTCAAACATAAAGATATAACATTTAAATTTTTTGTCATGAATCAACAACAAGTGGGACACAATTGTGAAGTGGAATCAAATTTGTTGGATAATTTAAACTTTTTTAACAAATAAAAAACTGAAAAGTGGGGCGTGCAATATTATTCGGCCCCTTTACTTTCAGTGCAGCAAACTCACTCCAGAAGTTCAGTGAGGATCTTTGAATGATCCAATGTTGTCCTAAATGACTGATGATGATAAATAGAATGCACCTGTGTGTAATCAAGTCTCCGTATAAATGCACCTGCTCTTTGATAGTCTCAGGGTTCTGTTTAAAGCGCAGAGAGAACCATGAAGACAAAGGAACACACCAGGCAGGTCCGAGATACTGTTGTGGAGAAGTTTAAAGCCAGATTTGGATACAAAAAGATTTCCCAAGCTTTAAACATCTCAAGGAGCACTGTGCAAGCAATTATATTGAAATGGAAGGAGTATCAGACCACTGCAAATCTACCAAGACCCGCCGTCCCTCCAAACTTTCATCTCAAACAAGGAGAAGACTGATCAGAGATGCAGCCAAGAGGCCCATGATCACTCTGGATGAACTGCAGATAACTACAGCTGAGGTGGGATGGTGTGTTCAGGGGGATGAGCTGTGTTGCTTTTATGCCAAACATTTCGTTTTGCATTGTGGCCAAAAAGTTCGATTTGGTTTCATCTGACCAGAGCACCTTCTTCCACATGTTTGGTGTGTCTCCCAGGTGGCTTGTGGCAAACTTTAAACCAGACTTTTTATGGATATCTTTGAGAAATGGCTTTCACTCTTCCATAAAGGCCAGATTTGTGCAGTGCACGACTGATTGTTGTCCTATGGACAGACTCTCCCACCTCAGCTGTAGTTATCTGCAGTTCATCCAGAGTGATCATGGGCCTCTGGCTGCATCTCTGATCAGTCTTCTCCTTGTTTGAGATGAAAGTTTGGAGGGACGGCCGGGTCTTGGTAGATCTGCAAGAGTGGTCTGATACTCCTTCCATTTCATATAATTGCTTGCACAGTGCTCCTTGAGATGTTTAAAGCTTGGGAAATCTTTTTGTATCCAAATCAGCGCTTTAAACTTCTCCACAACAGTATCTCGGACCTACCTGGTGTGTTCCTTTGTCTTCATGGTTCTCTCTGCGCTTTAAACAGAACACCTGAGACTATCAAAGAGCAGGTGCATTTATACGGAGACTTGATTACACACAAGTGCATTCCTATTTATCATCATCAGTTATTTAGGACAACATTGGATCATTCAAAGATCCTCACTGAACTTCTGGAGTGAGTTTGCTGCACTGAAAGTAAAGGGGCCGAATAATATTGCACGCCCCACTTTTCAGTTTTTTATTTGTTAAAAAAGTTTAAATTATCCAATAAATTTTGTTCCACTTCACAATTGTGTCCCACTTGTTGTTGATTCATGACAAAAAATTAAAACTTTATATCTTTATGTTTGAAGCCTGAAATGTGGCGAAATGTTGAAAGGTTCAAGGGGGCCGAATACTTTCGCAAGGCACTGTAGTAGCATATTAGCATTAGCATAGCACATGTAGTGGAAATATACTGCCTTGAGCATATTGTTAGAATGATGAGTTAGAACATTCACCACAGTAGCTTCAAAGTGTCATGAAATATCCAAAAAGCACGAAAATACTCACATTTTCTTTGCATATCAGCAGCAATTTTTGTTGGCCTGACACCACTCCATTAACCGGAAGTTTATGGGTCACGTGACTGCAAACCAAGAATAGTGATGATCATAATAATAATAATGATAATAATGATAATGATAATAATAATAATAATAATAATAATAATAATAATAATAATAATAATAACTGATAATAAGAGCTTGTCCTCTGAACTCAAACCATGACCCTGTGTGTTTTATTCCAGTGTCAGGTCCTGGTGTACGAGTCTGTGGACTACTTCCGGCACACGGAGGAGCCCTGCAGGAAGACCTGAGATTACACCTCCTTTCTCTCCATTCTCTCTCTCCTCGCTTCACTCTTTTGTCCTCTCTCTCTCCTCTCTCTTTTCTCTTTCTCTCACCTCTCTCTCCTCACTCTTGTGTCTTCTCCCCTCTCTCTCCCCCCTCTCTCCATTCTCTTTCTCTCTTTTTTTCTGTCTACTCCCCTCTCATCTGATTCTCTCCCCCTTCTCTCTCTCCCCTCTTTTCCCTCCTCTCCTCGTTTTATCTCCCTCCGCACTCTTCTTTCTGACCTCTCTCTCTCTCCTCTCTCTCTTCTTCTCTCCCCCTTCTCTCTCTCTTCTCTCTCTCGACCCATGACGTCTGAATGTTCTGTCCATGTAAATACATTTCAATAAAGTAAGTTTTGTGACAAATGTATTCTCTGCTCCTCCATCATGACCTCTGCACAAAACAGAATCTACACTTATCTGAACTTAGAAGCGTGGCTAACCACTCCAGCCCTGTATTTATGAACCGTACGGCTAACCCCCAGTGTAGAGTAAGTCACCACATGTTATAAGAGTCAGGAGTACACATTATACTCAGTAAAAGTAACTGATACTCTAAAGTACTGGTACAAAACACAGAAGTAATTTTCCTCTGAGCCTTGGTGAGTGCAGAGTTGGTGGTTTCAGCCGCAGGTGGAAAGTGCGTTGCTCAGAGGTCAGAGGAAGTGGAAAGATTGACCCGTTCAGTTTCTCATCATGGCAGTTGCTCAGATATTAAGTTTATTTATAACAGTGACTTGTGGTCAGATGAGGCCCGGCCTGACCTAAAATCATGAAAAGAATAGAATGAAAACAACACTTGGTCATTATATCAAGTGATTTGTGCTATTGTATTATATCAATGCAACTTTTCCTTATTTCATTTATTATTTTTATACCTTGAAATCACATATTTGACAGCGGCGCGATGTGAGGCGATCCTCACTTGAGACGTAAAAGCCCTGGGGTAGAGGCCCGTGCGCTGCTATCAAACCGTTTTGTTTATTGTGGTTTACAAAGTTCAAACATATTTCCTTTACATTCTACATGTCTATAGTTGAGAGGATGGCTCATAAAGTGTTTTTGACAACAAATATGGGTCTTAATTGCGCTCAACCACAGCTTGTAGTATCACCAAGTGAGGCCAGCCTCAGGAATATTGGACGCTTGTGAGCCCAGAATTCGACTGCATCCAATTCCATCAGAAAGCTCCTTTCTGGTTCTGCTAAGGGCAGCTACAGGTTTGGCTAACATATGTAACACATTTAGATAATTTAAAATGCACTTAGGCTAATTTTATGCTTCCAATGATGATAGGAATGATAAGGAAGAGAGGTGAATGGTAAGTTTGATTTTAGAAATTGGATGCACCCGAGATACGGCTGCTGCTAGCGAATCATGAGAAGTATATGGAGGAGAAACCCGTTTTGTTTTACTTTTTAAAACTCACTGGACTTATTTCCAAAAGGAGGATTACATATCTGCGCTCAAACTATTATCTGGACTTAAAAATGAAACTGGTCTGAACTGAAGTTGTCTGTGCAGGTCAGGTTTAAGACTCATAACTTTCTTTCTTTCTTTCTTTCTTTCTCATAACTCACTTTGAAATGTGCTTTTTACATACTTTTGCGTTTTGTATGAGCAAACAATGCGGGCATGGAACATTATGCTGTAGCCAAACAAATTGTAAATAAGCCGCTCTATAGGCCCTCATTTTTATTTATTTATTTTATATTATATATATATATATATATATATATATATATATATATATATATATATATATATATATATATATATATATATATATATATATATATATATATATATATATATATATATATATATATATATATATATATATATATATATAACAGAGAGGGATAACCGCCCGCGGAGGGCCAAAGGTGAGTGGACAATTTTTATATATGTATATATAATATGTATATATATGTATATATATATATATATATATATATATACACAGTAGTTTGTGTTGTGGCAGGCCCTTGAGCCAGGCTTGTTACTAATAAATAAATAAATAAATATATATATATAAAAAAAATTTGTCCACTCACCTTTGGCCCTCCGCGGGCGGTTATCCCTCTCTAAGCTCGGGTCCTCTACCAGAGGCCAGGGAGCTTGAGGGTTCTGCGCAGTATCTTTGCTGTTCCTAGCACTGCACATTTCTGGACCGAGATGTCCGAGGTTGTTCCGGGGATCCGCTGTAACCACTCCTCTAGCTTCGGGGTCACTGCCCCGAGTGCACCGATCACCACGGGCACTACTGTCGCCTTTACCCTCCAGGCCCTCTCCAGCTCCTCTCTGAGACCTTGGTATTTCTCAAGCTTTTCATGTTCTTTTTTCCGGATGTTATCATCGCTTGGAATTGCCACGTCCACCACCACGGCTGTCCTCTGCCCTTTGTCTACCACCACGATGTCAGGTTGGTTTGCCATTACCATTCGGTCGGTCTGTATCTGGAAGTCCCACAGGATCTTCGCACGCTCATTCTCCACCACCTTTGGAGGAGTTTCCCACTTAGACCTTGGGGTTTCCAGCCCATACTCTCCACAGATGTTTCTGTACACTATGCCAGCCACTTGGTTATGGCGTTCCATGTAGGCCTTCCCTGCCAGCATCTCGCACCCTGCAGTTATGTGTTGGATCGTCTCAGGTGCCTCTTTGCACAACCGACACCTTGGGTCTTGTCTGGTGTGGTATATCTGGGCCTCTATCGCTCTGGTGCTCAGTGCCTGTTCCTGTGCAGCCATGATGAGTGCCTCTGTGCTGTCCTGTAGGCCAGCCCTTTCTAGCCATTGGTAGGACTTCTTGAGATCAGCCACTTCTGTTATGCTCCGGTGGTACATGCCGTGTAGGGGCTTGTTCTCCCATGATGGGCTCTCCTCCAGCACCTCCTCATCTCGCCACTGCCTGATACATTCACTGAGTACGTCATCCGTTTTGGCCTTCTCCATGATGTAGTTATGGAGTTTGGATGTTTCGTCCTGGACAGTGGCTCTCACACTCACTAGTCCTCGGCCTCCTTCTTTACGGCTTACGTACAGTCTCAGGGTGCTGGATTTGGGATGGAACCCGCCATGCATGGTAAGGAGCTTTCGAGTTTTAACATCCGTGGTCTGAATCTCTTCCTTTGGCCACCTGATTATTCCTGCAGGGTATCTGATCACTGGCAGGGCGTAGCTGTTAATTGCCCGGGCCTTGTTCTTGCCATTGAGCCGGCTTCTTAGGACCTGCCTTACTCGCTGGAGGTATTTGGCAGTTGCCGCTTTCCTCGTCACCTGTTCGAGGTTGCCATTTGCCTGTGGTATACCGAGATACTTGTAACTGTCCTCAACGTCTGCTATTGTTCCCTCTGGGAGTGAGATCCCTTCTGTGTGGACTACCTTGCCTCTCCGAGTCACCATCCTGCTACATTTCTCGAGCCCGAATGACATCCCGATGTCATGGCTGTAGATCCTGGTTGTTTGGATCAGAGAGTCGATGTCTCTCTCGCTCTTGGCGTACAGCTTGATGTCATCCATGTAGAGGAGGTGACTGATCTTTGCTCCGTTCCTGAGGCGGTATCCATAGCCAGTCTGGTCAATTACTTGGCTTAGGGTTGAGGCCTATGCAGAACAGTAGTGGGGACAGAGCATCTCCTTGGTAGATACCACATTTGATGGTCACTTGTGCGAGCGGCTTGCCATTTGCCTCAAGGGTGGTCTTCCACATTCCCATCGAGTTTGCAACGAAGTCCCTTAGAGCCCTGTTGATATTGTACAACTTCAAGCATTCCATGATCCATGTGTGTGGCATTGAGTCGTAGGCTTTCTGGTAATCAATCCAGGCTGTGCACAGGTTGGTGTGTCGTGACCGGCAGTCTTGGGCGACTGTTCTGTCAACCAGGAGCTGGTGTTTGGCTCCTCTGGTGTCCCTACCAATGCCCTTCTGCAAAAATGAAAAAAAAAAAAAAAAAAATATATATATATATATATATATATATATATATATATATATATATATATATATATATGTATATGTATGTATATGTATGTATATGTATATGTATATATATATATATGTATATGTATATATATGTATATATATATATGTATATATATATATATATAATATAATATAAATATATGTGGAAATGTTCTGCAGGAGCAGGAGGGAAACAGGTCGTGTCGCTTCATGGTTAGTTTTGTTGTTCCTTCCACAGCTCTGCCAGGTGTGGTACTGAAATGTTTAAAGGAGAAGTGTTAAAGCCATAGACCGTATATATTAATGGACAGAGTCACGCCTATCTCCGCCGTTCATAGGAGTTGGCCATGAAAAGTGCTTTCATGGAGCAATCCAAGATGGCCGCGAGTGGTCCCGCCCACAAGAAAATTGTGAAAAAACGCATCTGCGCATGCGTCAGCCGGCGCAGCTCCATTCATTTGAACGAGAGACTTCAAAAATTCACTGCAAGTAAACTAGAGTGGACCAAAAAAATCCACCCCCCTCAGCATTGACACACATGTGGAACGGAGCTTTGGGCCAAGAGCCAACTTTTGGTCCATCCTGTAAAGACGTTTTTGAGAGGTCTGCTAACGCTATATGTTAGCATTGGCTAATTCTTCTTCTGGGTCCATCCCCATCGGCCCGGGGTGGTATTGCAAGCATGTCAGCGCACGTCATTTTGGCCACTTTTGAGCCGGGACCCTCCCCCACTGGTTAAAGCACAGTTTTAAGGGAAGAAAAAGCTAAATTAGCAGGTAACACATGCATAAAATAATGATCAATTTCTTGAACTGGTTTGTGGTGTTCCTACAGTGTCTGAGATTTTGAATTCGCTACATTTTATTTTTCTTATCTTCAAACAGTGTGTTCTCCTTTAAACATTACATAACCACACCTGGCAGAGCTACAATCTCACACACTGTAGGAACAATATGGAAGAAAGGATCATTATTATGTCCTCCGGTGATCCCATAATTTGGAACAGAAAGAGAAGCACTGAACCAGTCTCACTCTGTGCTATAGTTGACTTAAAGCTGAGCTCCCTAAGTTTTTTGTTTCATCAATAACTTATAATAAATCAGACCACACCTTTCCGCCTTCATCTCTCTAGAGAACAAGTTATGTGGAAAAATAACTTCCTTCTCTCTTCCTTTCCAATGAACACAATTTTAACTTTTATTCTATACGCAGCTTGCAGACCGTCTAAAGATCATGCTAACTTATGCTAACCTATGACCCAACATGAAATGGTGCAATGGTTGTTGGTACAATTCCAGGTGAGGGTGTGGAAGCTTCCTGGCGGTTGGTACAAGGGCGTGGGTGACTTTAAACCACAAGAAACTAAACAAAACGGCAACAATAACATGAAGGGTATTCTGCCAACCGCTCACCTGGACGTACCACAACAAAAGCTGATCTGAGCTGGTCACAAATGCATTAAGTTTGGGTTATTTTTGCAGTTTTTTGTTGTGGAAATAGCAAGCCTTAAACACAGAGGAGCAGAGCAGGTGTAGTGTTTGAAATAGGGGAAAACAAGCTCAGGCCCGAGAGCCAAATGCGGTCCTCGGTTTCAATTCAAGTGGCCCTCTTTGCTAACACCAAAAAAACATTGAGATAAACAGATAAGATAAGATAAGAGAGCCTTGTGTTGTCCCACAGTGGGGAAATTTCAGTGTTGCCGTGCACATACAGGACAGTAGTAAGAGCACACAACATAAGGAGCTGCTATGTTTCTTAGCTAGCTGTAAATGCTTCAATAAAAAACAGAAGATATGTAGCGACCGGTGCTTGTCCCATGGTCGGTGAGGCTTTCAATGTCATCTGCTGTTGATTAATACTGTTTAAACCTTGTGTTAAATTACTATTTCCAGATCAGTCCGACTTGAAGCATCACCATAGCAACACACAGCCACTATAGGACTAATAAAGACATTATTTATCCATAACAATGCAGTGTTTTCTAATGTTTTCTTGACGTGGCCTGATTTACTCACAACATTCTACTTTTACTCTTTCTGTTTCTCTTTGGAATAAATAATACGCTGGTTTTACACAGCGCTTTTTTTGGACACTCAAAGGCGCTTCACATCATTTTTTTTCACTCAAAACTACTACTTTAGTCACAGTTGCCCTGGGGCACACTGACAGAAGCAAGTGGCAACCAGTCTGTGCCATCAGCCCCTCCCACCAACCATTAGCACACACACACACACACACACACACACACACACACACACACACATACACACCAGACTCTAATGTGGGTGAAGTGCCTTGCCCAAGGACACAACCACAGTTTGGCACTTTACAGCTGCAGCATCTGGTGTTTCCAGAGGTCTCCCATCTCAGTACTAACCAGGCCCTGCCCTGCTTATCTTCAGAGGTCTGCAGGGATCTGGCTGACACCTGCAGGTAATGCAATCAAATCTCTAAATCTCTAGCTTTACCATAATCAAGAAGCAAGATTTTTCTAAGATCTAATTTTCACTTCTGACCTGGACCTGTGTGTGTGTGTGTGTGTGTGCGTGTGTGTGTATGTGTGCGTGTGTGTTTGTGTGTGTTTGTGAAGATAAAACAACAACAAATAAATGTATAATGATTCTTTAATCTTTCTCTTTAGTGGTTCATAGAAAAAGACAAAAATGCTGACATCATGTTAGCTCAACAAAATCTATTATAGTCAACAATTTCACCTTTATCCAGACATGTCCTTTTGTCTCCAACCAAACCCACACCAAGCATTGCTGAGATTCAGTTTGACTTCTCACACATTTACACCACGTCACCCTAAATAATGAGTAGACACACCTCCTACAAGCTGCTTTAAATGGCCCTGGACGTACATGCACCGCAGCGTCCTTGGATCCAGTCTCATCTCAGTCTCCACCGCGGCCGTGATCTCACCGAGAACCAGAACCAAGATGTGTGACCTCAAAGAAAACATCATGAACTTGAGGAAGCTGTTCGAGGAGCACTCCAAGGACGGAAACACCATCTCCACCGCTGACATTCGCAACATTTTGGCGCGCAAGAAGGACCAAAACCCTCAGGTATGGTTCAAGCCATAGACTGTGTATGAATGGGCGATGCTAACCTGCTAGCTTGATTTTGTTCCAACTCGCTCGTGCTCCCATTGACTTACATCGAAGTAAACGCCTCTAGCTCTGTGGCCGTTTGTGTCACACTTACCGTCAAAACATGGGTCAGAATCGCAGTGTGAATTCTAGTGTTTTTGATAATGTCTTTGTAAATTCAGATATAGCTCTATATAAGGATTGACCAATCAGATGCCTTTATTTGCGGGGGAAACTCCAGCTTGCCAATAGCAACCGTCTTAGCAACCGCCAGAAGCTAATGCCCATATAAGGAAATAGACTCCAGCTCGTTTATGTCCAAAACGGCTTTGACCTTATAAAGGCTTTAAGGTTAAGGAGAATATGCAAGTGCTAAAGAAGAAGAAAGGAAGTGTGTGTGTTTGTGTCTGTGTGTGCGTGAAAGTGTGTGTCTGAGTGTGTGTGTGCATGTTTCTGAGTGTGTGTGTTTCTTTGTGTGTGTGTGTGTGTGTGTGTGTGAGTGAGTGTGGATGTATCTGAGTGTCTGAGTTAAAGTGTATGTATGTGTGCGTGAGTCTCTGAGTGTGTGTGTGTGTCTCAGTCTCTAAGTGTGTGTCTGAGTGTGTGTCTGAATGTGTGTGTGTCTCAGTCTCTAAGTGTGTGTGTCTCAGTCTCTAAGCGTTTGTCTGAGTGAGTGTGTGTGAGCGAGTGTGTCTGTGTGTATGTGTGTTCATGTCTGTGTATCTTTTTCAGGACCTGGTTATTTGTGTGTTTTTCGTCGTGTAAACTCCACTCCATTCCGACTAGGATTCAAACCTACAGCTCCTTCTTGCTGAGGAGCGAGGAGGCTAACCACTCCCCCACCCGCTGCCCGTTACACTTATGCTAATGTGTGTGTTTTTGGTTTGTGTCGTCAGGTTCCCAAATGCCCTGAGAAAGTGCAGAAGATCATGCAGCGCCTGGAGAAGGACGAAGAGGTGGACTTCAAAGATTTCATGAAACTTCTGGGAGCGATGTCGTCGGCGATGCACGGATGGCACATGAACTGTCAGTCCAATCAGTGAGCTGTCAGTCCAATCAGTGAACTGTCAGTCCAATCAGTGAACTGTCGGTCCAATCAGTGAACTGTCAGTCCAATCAGTGAACTGTCAGTCCAATCAGTGAACTGTCAGTCCAATCAGAGAACTGTCAGTCCAATCAGTGAACTGTCAGTCCAATCAGTGAGCTGTCAGTCCAATCAGTGAGCTGTCAGTCCAATCAGTGAACTGTCAGTCCAATCAGTGAACTGGCAGTCCAATCAGTGAACTGTCAGTCCAATCAGTGAACTGTCAGTCCAATCAGTGAACTGTCAGTCCAATCAGTGAACTGTCAGTCCAATCAGTGAACTGTCAGTCCAATCAGTGAACTGTCAGTCCAATCAGAGAACTGTCAGTCCAATCAGTGAGCTGTCAGTCCAATCAGTGAGCTGTCAGTCCAATCAGTGAACTGTCAGTCCAATCAGTGAGCTGTCAGTCCAATCAGTGAGCTGTCAGTCCAATCAGTGAACTGTCAGTCCAATCAGTGAACTGTCAGTCCAATCAGTGAACTGTCAGTCCAATCAGTGAACTGTCAGTCCAATCAGTGAACTGTCAGTTCAATCAGTGAACTGTCAGTCCAATCAGTGAACTGTCAGTCCAATCAGTGAACTGTCAGTCCAATCAGTGAACTGTCAGTCCAATCAGTGAACTGTCAGTTCAATCAGTGAACTGTCAGTCCAATCAGTGAACTGTCAGTCCAATCAGAGAACTGTCAGTCCAATCAGTGAGCTGTCAGTCCAATCAGTGAACTGTCAGTCCAATCAGTGAACTGTCAGTCCAATCAGTGAACTGTCAGTCCAATCAGTGAACTGTCAGTCCAATCAGAGAGCTGTCAGTCCAATCAGTCCGTCTTTCTGATCAATAAACCTCTGATAATGAAAATTGAAAGGTGTGTTTGGTGTTTTTACAGCTGCAGCAGTCTATACAGTTCATATACAAGAATTAAACAATCACACTAGGCCTTTGACACTGCAAAAAAGTGGTCTATTTTATCTCTCTCTGGTCCGTCTCTCTGGTCTCTCGCTTTGGTCTCTCTCTGGTCTCTCTCTGGTTTCTCTTTCCGGTCCCTCTCTCTCTGGTCTCTCCCTCTAGTTTCTCTCTCAGGTCTATCTCTGGTCTCTCTCTCTCTGGTCTGAAAGGTGTGTTTGGTGTTTTTACAGCTAAAGCAGTCTATACAGTTCATTCACAAGATAGAAACAATCACACAAGGCATTAAAAAAAAAAAAAGGTCTCTTTGGTTTGTTTGGTCTCTCTCTGGTCGCTTTCTCTGGACTCTCACTCAAGTCTCTCTCTCTCTCTGGTCGCTCTCTCTGGACTCTCACTCTAGTCTCTCTCTCTCTCTCTCTCTAGTCGCTCTCTTGTCTCTCTGTCTCAAGTCTATCCCTAGTTTCTCTCTCTGGTCTCTCTCTCCCTGGTCTCTCACTCTAGTCTCTGTCCCTGGTCTCTCACTCTTGTCTCTCTCTCTGGTCTTTCTCTCTCTCTCTGGTCTCTCATTCTATAGTCTCTCACTCTGGTCTGTATTGTCTCTTTCTTTCTCTCTCTCCCTCTCTAGTCTCTCCGTGGTCTCTTTGGTCTTTCTCTTGTCTCTCTCTAGTCTCTCTCTGGTCTCTCTGATATCTCTCTCCAGACTCTCTGTGGTCTCTCTCGTCCCTCTCTAGTCTCTCTCTGGTCTCTCTCTGGTCTATTTCTGGTCTCTCCAGCCTCTCTCTAGTGTCTCTTTGGTCTCTCTCTCTAGTCTCTCTGGTCTCTTTAGTCTCTCTCTAGTGTCTCTTTGGTCTCTCTCCCCTCAGTTATGCAATGTACAGCCTCAGTCCTCGTTCTACAGCCTGAGTCCTGGATCCACACTGGTTTAGACTTGACTAGCTGCTATAAAAGAGTGTGATCTCAGGCCCTCCTATGGTCTTGATGGTTCTATTCCACAACAGTTTGTATTTGTAACTGGTTTTATGAAGCAATCTCCGGCTCTGATCCTCAAAGCTTTCATCATTCCCATAATCCTGTGTTCTCGTGTCCCTCGGGTGTTGGCCGCTCTCAGTGATTGGTTGGTCAGACCTGTACCTTCCTCAGCAGAGATAATAAAACCCGCTCTCTCTCTCTGTGGATCCAGCGTTATCAAAAACCATATCGTCGACATGTGTGACCGCAAAGACCTGACCCTGCTGCCCGCCCTCAGCGCCATCATACAGACCTTCGAGAAGTACGCCAGCGTTCAAGGGGACAAGGACAAACTGTGCAAAGCGGAGCTGAAGGCCCTGATCCAGACCGAGCTGGCTCCAATGATCAAGGTACTGGGTCCAACCTCCGCCTCAGGGCTCAGACTACAGTGAGCCCTGACACTACTAGACTAAAGCCTCTCTCTGTGAGGAGTGAGAGACTAATGCCCAAAAATAACAATTGTAAAGTGCTTTGTGACTCTGGTCTGTGAAAGGCGCTATATAAATAAAGATTACTAACTTATTTAAACTTGCTACAAAAATACAAGGTTTTTTGGTTCTTTTTATTTGTTTTTTGAGCTTTGTTGCTGATGACAATTTTCTTGTTTCAAAATTACTCTGGGACTTGTCTCCTGCTGGGACTCTGAGGAGCACAGGGACTGGTCTCCTGCTGGGACTCTGAGGAGCACAGGGACTGGTCTCCTGCTGGGACTCTGAGGAGCACAGGGACTGGTCTCCTGCTGGGACTCTGAGGAGCACAGGGACTGGTCTCCTGCTGGGACTCTGAGGAGCACAGGGACTGGCCTCCTGCTGGTCCCAGAGTCAGGATTAAATATGAGGAGACAGCATTTCAGATTAATGCAGCTAAAATCTAGATCAGTCTTCTTGAAAATGTGAGACCGGATTCTTCTCAGGTTTTCCCAAGGTTTCGTTCTTCATCCACATAACCTTTTAAAGGGAATGAAAGCTCAGCTAAGAGGGTGTGGGTGTGGTTAGACCCTGATTCCTAACCTTGAGGCTAACTCATTAACACATCTAAGGTCGGCTGAGAGCAGGTCTAACGATCCTGTAAGGTCTAACAATCCTGATAGGTCTAATGGACTTTATGTGTCTAACAATGGTTTTGATAGTTCCAACGATCTTGATAGGTGTATTGATCCTGGTAGGTCTAACGATCCCGGGCGGTCTATTGATCCTAGTAGGTCTAACGATCCTGATAGGTCTAACAGTCTTAATGTGTCTAACAATCCTGGTCGGTCTAACGATCTTGGTAGGTTTAACGATTCCATCTCATTAGCATGTCACTGACCTTATCTGTTGTTAGGGCGTTGTTCGTAGGATGTCGTCATAGATACGAGGCAAAACACATCTTAATCTGCCTCCTCTGTTTAAATTAAATAAAACAAAAATGGCTTCTTTCAAACTGATTCTAGTCTCGATCCTGAATCCTAAGAGTCGTTCGTGTGGTGTTTTCTGCAGGAAGCGAAAGGCGGCCGTGAGTTTGAAGAACTGTTTAACGCCATGGACCTCAACAAGGACCAGGAGGTGGACTTCCTGGAGTTCATGAGTGCTCTGGCCCTTTGCACCTGCATCTGCCGCGGGAAGTCCCAAAACCAGAAGTGAGAAGAGACACCGACAGAGACTCTGCTGGTGTCACATGGTGCGGAGAATCCAAAGAATAAAGAATCATTGAAAAACTGTAGGATTTGTGTTTATTTATTTTTTTATTTTGTCATTCGGTGAAGAGAAGAAAGGACTCAACATGTAGACCAGGACAGACAGAGCAACAAAGGGAGAGGAGCACAGGTACATGCGGTATAGACACAGAAACATACTGTAGGTACACATATACTGTACACACACAGAGAGACACAGGTAGATGTACATATAGTGTACATATATACAGAGAGACACAGGTACTTATAGACACAGAGAGACACAGGTACATATAGACACAGAGACACAGGTACATATAGACACAGAGAGACACAGGTACATGAAATTAAAAACTTTTATTTCTTTAAATTCTACCTTTTCATTTATTTATTTCTATGGCACTTGAAGCCCATTTTTCAAGGAGCTGGTTCTGGACTGGTCCTGGACTGGTATTAGACTGGTTCTGGTCCTGCTCTTGCTCTGGACTGGTTCTGGTCTTAGACTGGTTTTGGACTGGTTCTAGTCCTGGATTTGTTCTGGTACCACTTATTTCCACCAGAGAAGAGTGAGTGCTGGTTACCATAGCAACACACTGTTTACTGTTAGCCGTTAGCATGTGGTCTTTAGCATTAACCTTTCAACCAAATGTTTTTGCAGTATTCTTAGTAATATTCACCAGTTTTCAGTCCTTATTAAAATGGAAAAAAACTTCAAAACCTCATAAATCACTTACTTTTAATAAAACTGGTGAAAAAAATAAACATCTTTGGGGCAATTGCGGACTGCCCTGCCCGATCCGCCTGGAGCTGCTTCAGTCCTGCACCTGCTTCAGTCCTGCACCTGGATCTATAGCCTCAGTCCTCGTTCTACTGTCTGAGTCCTGGATCTATAGCCTCAGTCCTCGTTCTACTGTCTGAGTCCTGGATCTATAGCCTCAGTCCTCGTTCTACTGTCTGAGTCCTGGATCTATAGCCTCAGTCCTGGATCTATAGCCTCAGTCCTCGTTCTACTGTCTGAGTCCTGGATCTATAGCCTCAGTCCTCGTTCTACTGTCTGAGTCCTGGATCTATAGCCTCAGTCCTCGTTCTACAGTCTTAGTCCTGGATCTCCCACTGGGTTTTAGAGTTTTTCCTCTGATGCAGGAGTCTGTTACAGTTAGCGTCTAAGAAGGACTGTGATGATGATCCAGGACACTTTAACATTCTGCAACATGTATGACATTTATCAACATTCATGGATAGATAGATAGATAGATACTTTTTTGATCCCCATAGGAGAAATTCAGGTGTACAGTAGCAGCAAAAAAAGAATAAAAAATGGACATGGACATTGTTCTCTGCTTATGGACCAATGCACATTTCTTCTGTATTTTTGTGTCTTACTGTTTATTATCTGATCTGTCTTGATCACATGTGTCAAAGTCAAGGCCCGCGGGCCAAATCCGGCCCGCAAATGAATTTTACATGGCCCGTTGCCTGCCATTGACGGACTATTAAGTCAATTGCGTTTTCTGCTATTTTCATGTTCCCAGATGTCTATTATATCTAATATGTTTGGGGATAAGCTTGAGAGCATATTGAATCGAGCCAGCAGGTGGCAGCAGCGCTCTCTGAATGGTTTGAAAACAGCTAGATGCACTTGTTGTGCCTCTTTTTTCTCAGCTTTTTGGTGATTTCAGTAAAACTTCCCTCTACTCAACTGGGGATTACAAGCTAGAAACAAAATTATTTTTGCTGATGAAAGTAGACAGTCTATTCTTTCAGAATCTGGTTTCAGATTTCAGATAGTCATAGTACACAATATTCTGTGGGTCTTGAAAAATCTATAAAAATCATCAGAAAGTACCTTTCTGAAATAGGCTGGCAGGCAATGAGTTAATAAACATTGAACCAGTCCGGCCCTCGGCTCGCAGCAAATTTATTTTTTTGGCCCTCTGATGTATTTGACTTTGACATGCCTGGTCTTGATGATTTCAATGGTTTTGTTAAGTTTCTGAGATGATACTGTTGTGATTTAGGGAAATACAAGAATAAATTGTGTTGTGTTGTGATCAAAAACATAGTGTCTAAAGCAGACTTGGAGATTCTTATCCATGCATTTGTCTCCAGTAGGTTAGACTACTGCAATGGCCTGCTCACAGGTCTGTCCAAACAGGCTGTAAAACAGCTGCAGTACATTCAAAATGCAGCAGCTCGAGTCCTGACTAGAACCAGGAAGTACGACCACATTAGTCCAGTTCTCAGGTCTCTGCACTGGCTTCCTGTGGCTCAGAGAATAGACTTTAAAACAGCTCTGCTTGTGTACAAGTCTCTCCATGGCCTCGCACCAAAATATATTAGTGACATGTTAGTCCCATATGAACCAGCCCGGACTCTGAGGAGCACAGGGACTGGACTCCTGTTAGTGCCCAGAGTCAGAACTAAACATGGGGAGGCTGCTTTTCAGATTCATGCTGCTAAAATCTGGAACAGTCTTCCTGAAGATGTGAGACAGGCCTCCTCGCTGACAATGTTTAAAACCAAGTTAAAAACAGTTCTGTTTAGCTGTGCATACAACTGAGGGATTTTATATTTTTATCTTTATTTTAATGTTTTGTGGTCAATTGTGCTATACAAATAAACTTGCCTTGCCTTGTGTTGTATTGTGTTGTGTTGTGTTGTCTTGTAAATGACTCCTCGCGTTAATCCAACCGAACACTCCTAAAGCTAAAAATAATCTGAATGTAAAGAAAAGGGAGTGTCTGTTCTCCTTCAAACTTATTCAAATACAAACAGCTGAATATTTCCATAAAGAGGTCTGTGTGTGAGTCAGGTGTGTGTGACATCACAACACAACACTCTACACGCTGCAAACAAGAAAAACACATGAATCAAGTGTTTTCTTAATCTGAGCTGACTCTGTTCAAACAAGATCCTCCACCGGGTTTTAAGTATAGATTTACTTTTGAATGTTCTGGAAACAGCTAAATGCTAATGAAGCATTTAGCATCAATCTATTTGTTTTGTTTGTTTGGATGAATGTGTTTTTGCTGCTACGGGGAACTTGCATTTCTCTCTCTCTCTCTCTCTCTCTTTTGCTGTGTAGGTGTCTAGGAGCTAACTGGCTACCTCCTTTCAATCCGTCTTCCCCCCAGGGCAGTGGCGCAGCATTTGTGTACAGAGTAAAGGAATAATACCATGTGAACTTCCTTCTCACCTGGTCAAACCGGTTACCAGGGATAATAACAGCCTATTATGAAAAACATGTCCTACCCACAAATGCAATGTGGCAAAGCAGCTACTTTAACAACTGAACCTCTACGGCTTATTTCTCAGAAAGGGTTAAATATTAGAAGAAAAAAAGAATGTGGAAGTTTTTGCAGAAGTCAGTTCGATGACCAAATGTTCATGAATGTTCTTATATCACCATCACTGTTCTTAGACTCTCCTGAATCGGGGAGCACAGGTACTGTACAGAAGGAAAAAGGTACAAAACATATGATATGAATTTATTGACCTGAAGAGGAAAGAGGCCAAAAAAAGAAAAGATACTGGATGTTATGGAGGAACGATGGAAGTTAACCTTGTTTTTGTTTATGACACATAGATAAAACATAAATAGATAGATACAGTAGATAGACAGATAGACAGATAGACAGATAGACGGATAGATGGATAGATGGATAGATAGATAGATAGATAGATACTTTATTTATCCCTGTAGGAGAAATTCAGTGTCCAGCAGCAGAAACACACCCATTTCTAAAAACAAATAAATACAAACATGTAAAAGTGACTAAGAAGGTCCCAGTGGCAGAGGTGGTGTAGGGTGGAGCAGGACAGGTCACAGGTCACAGGTCACAGGTCACAGGTCTCTTCCCCTTGTCAAATCCAGACTCAAAACCCATCTGTTCAGACTGTCCTGCCCCACCTAACACACACGCACCCACCATTCCATAATGCACTACTGCTTTATTCTGTTGCTCCTGTTTTGAAAGGCGCTTTTAAAGAAAATGTATTATTATTATTGTTATTATTATTACTACAGGTCGCTGCTGCAGAAGTCGGTGATGGTTGGGCGTTGTCAGACTGGCTCTCCTCCCAGAAGGCGTTACATTTTGTCCTCACCTGATTCCAACACGCCTCTGTGGACTCTTTAAAAACCTCTGCTGCACTGCTCCTCTTCACCAGCTCTTCACTTCCTCCTCTTCACCTGCTCCTCTTCATCAGCTCCTCTTCATCAGCTCCTATCATGTCTGGCTGTGAAGAAGAATCGTGTACGACCCTCCCTGTGTGCATCTATGGACTGGCCATTGTTTTTAAGAGTCACGCCGGGGCAGATGGGAAACTGAATACAGGCGAGCTCACGCAGCTACTCAAGGAGGAACTGCCAGGAATGGTATTTACAACGTTACAATGTTCCTAAAATTGAAATACCACGGACAGATTTGAAACTGTAGTATTTGTTTTTCAACGTGCGTAACTGATTTAGCATATTTTACGGCAAAATTATGGTCAATGTAAGTCTGCTGAACACTGGCTGTTTTTATTGATTATTGTAGGACCTCTCTCTCTGGTCTCTCTCTCTCTGGTCTCTCACTCTGGTCTCTCTCTGGTCTCTCGCTGGTCTCTCTCTACTCTCTCTCCCTTCTATCTCTCTGGTCTCTCCCGCTCTGCTCTCTCTCTTCTCTCGCTCTCTCTTCTCTCTTTTGCTCTTTCCACTCTCTCTCTACTCTCTATCTTTTTTCTCTCTGCTCTCTTTCTTCTCTGCTCTGTCTTCTCTCTCTCTGCTCTCTCCACTCTCTCTCCTCTCTCTCTGCTCTGGTCTCTCTCTCTCTCCTCTCTCTCTGCTCTGGTCTCTTTCTCTCTCCACTCTCTCTCTCCTCTCTCTCTGCTCTGGTCTCTCTCTCTCTCCACTCTCTCTCTGCTCTCTCCACTCTCTCTCTCCTCTCTCTCTGCTCTGGTCTCTCTCTCTCCACTCTCTCTCTGCTCTCTCTGGTCTCTCTCTCCACTCTCTTTTCTCTCTCTCTGCTCTCTCTCTCTGGTCTGGTCTCACTCTCTTCTCTCTCTCTTTGCTCTCACAGTCCATGTTTCTTAGTCTGTAACTTCCTGTTACTCACATGGCAATAAAACTGATTCTGATTCGTTCTTTCTTTCTTTGTGATGTCACTGTGATGTCACTGTGATGTCACTGTGATGTCACTGAACCAACAAGAAAACTTTTTGGTGATAAACAGCGTTAAAAGTGAAGCAGGATCTCAGATTGTGTGTCTTGTGTTGTTTGGTGCAGGGAGGCGGGAACATGCAGCAGATGGTGTCACAGATGCTCACTGAGCTGGACGGGAAAGACAAAGACGGACTGATGGACTTCCAGGAGTTCATGCAGCTGGTGACGGTGTACGCCTGTGTCATGTATGAGATGATGAGTCAGGAATAAGGCAACTGAGCCCTGCAGGCTTCCATACAAACACATGTGATGTTGTTCCTTGACCCCAAATAAAATATTGCAATGTATTTTCAAGTTTTGACATTATTTCATTGAGTCAAAATGTGTTTTTAGGGTTAGGGTCATAATGAGGCCTGGGAGAAAGCTACTAAGACATTAGAAGTCCAGTTCAAGAGAGATTAAGCAAGGCAAGGCAAGTTTATTTGTATAGCACAATTTCATACACAAGGCAACTCAAAGTGCTGAACAAATAATGCAGCATAAACATCATAAATAATCACAGTATATTAGAAAGAAGACAAGGGTTGGAACCATGGATCTATAATAATAACTGGATAGGGTATTACTAGCTTATAGCTGTCCCACACATGGGCACAGGGGGCGCCCGTGGTACTGCAGACTAAATTCACCCGGGCTACGCAGAAAAAAGTCCCAAAGAACTCAATGTAAACTAAAACAGCTTGACCTCAGCTGACAAAGAACCTACAGCTTTCATAAAGATCGGATTTTGTGGGGATTTTAGTGTCCCTTGTCATCCTGAACTTTTTTTCTTCCTAAATCTTTTACTGCCACAAACTCTGCTCCTTTCCTTCCCGCTCTGACTCCGCTCTACCGCTGCCCTGATCAGCAGCGCTGATTGGTCAAAGCGCAACCGAGCCCCTTTGTGCACGTGCATGAGAGCCCACACACGAGCTCACACAACGCATCACGGGAGCTCGTCCACTGCGCAGAACCGGGAGGACCGGACGATGCCCCGTGAAGTCCCATGTGCTCCATCTTGGATCACCGGGGCTTGGCTGCAACCTATAATTAAATTAATGTTTGTATAGCCTTATGTTACAAACAGTGGGGGCGGGTCCCGGCTCAAAAGTGGCCAAAATGACGTGCGCTGACATGCTTGCAATACCACCCCGGGCCGATGGGGGTGGACCCGAAATAAGAATTAGCCAATGCTAATATATAGCATCTTCTTACCTCTTGAAAACACCTTTACAGGAATGTCCAAAAGTTGGCTCTTGGCCCAAAGCTCCGTTCCACATGTGTGTCAATGCTTAGGGGAGTGAATTTTTTTGGACCACTCTAGATTACTCACTGTGAATTTTTGAAGTCACTCGTTTAAATGAATGGGTCTTGCGCCGGCTGATGCATGCGCAGATGCGTTTTTTTTCACAATTTTCTTGTGAGCGGGACCACTCACAACCATTTTGGATAGCTCTAGTAGAGCACATATTTTGGCCCATTTTTTGGCCCATTTGTTTGAACGGCGGAGATAGGCGTGACTACGTCTGTTAATATTTACAGTCTATGGTTACAACAGCAGTCTTCTAGGGGACATTACTAATTAACAAAAATGAAAGAAATTGTATGTTATGCAGGAGCTATAGAAGTAAACTTGTAATAGCATTTGTTTGTTGGTAGATAGAGTATGGTTTGTGCTGCTGCTGCTGCTTGCTCCTCCTTCCAGGATCCAGCCAATGAGAGGGCTCCATTTTTGTCACGCAATGGCTCAAGGCTCAGACAAAATGGAGTCCAGACATAGATATAGGATATTTATTTAAATAGACTGCTGCTTCCTCCCAGCCTTTTTGAATGGGGTTGTCACAATAGATAGACAGACAGACAAACAGATTTACTGTTTACAAACAGTTTTACAGACAGATACTTTATTGATCCCTGTCACAGTGATTCAGTGTCCAGTAGCAGATCCATTCACACAAACAGATAAACACACACATGTAAAAATGACTAACAATAAAAACAAAGTGGCGTAGACACCGGTTGCTGGGAGGAGCAGGACGGTCCCAGCAGCAGACGGGTCCAGCCTGATTTAGGTCTGTTGGGCGTGGTCAAAGACTGGATCGCTTCCAAAGGGCGTGACATAAGTCCTCACCTGACTCTGCTCCACGTCTCATCACCTCCTCGCACCTGCTCCTCTCTGCTCCACATCTCCACCACCTCCTCGCACCTGCTCCTCTCTGCTCCACATCTCCACCACCTCCTCGCACCTGCTCCTCTCTGCTCCACATCTCCACCACCTCCTCGCACCTGCTCCTCTCGCCGCGGTCATGTCCGAAGAGTGTCCAGACATCCTGCAGCGCCTAAGTGACCTGACGTCGCTTTTCTACGAACACGCCGGAGAGGACAAGAAACTGAGCAAAACCGAGCTCAAGAAGTTGCTCCAGGAGGATCTGAAGTGTCAGGTGTGTGCCACAGTTTCTATATTCTAATTATACATGTGAGATTATTAATCATAAATGAGGGTCTGATGAGTTTTATGGTAGAGGTGGTAGAGAGTGTATAGCTGCAGCCTTCAGATAAACAAAACATTCAGGTGGAAAAGTACCAGCATCTGTTGTAATGATGACTTCAGCTTTAACCACAGTAGCTTCAAAGACTTATATAATTTTCAAAACTGTTTATTCATAATAATCCACCCTATACACTATACAGCACTGAGCATTGAAATGTAGTCAAAGTATGTGTTCAAGTCTGGGGAATACTGACTGTTTGTTTTTAGTGTCACTCATTATTATGTACAGTTATATACTGTACATATAGGGCAGGAGTTATATACTGTACATATAGAGCAGGAGTTATATACTGTACATATAGACAGGAGTTATATACTGTACATATAGAGCAGGAGTTATATACTGTACATATAGAGCAGGAGTTATATACTGTACTTATAGACAGGAGTTATATACTGTACATGTAGAGCAGGAGTTATATACTGTACATATAGACAGGAGTTATATACTGTACATATAGACAGGAGTTATATACTGTACATATAGAGCAGGAGTTATATACTGTACATATAGAGCAGGAGTTATATACTGTACATATAGACAGGAGTTATATACTGTACATATAGAGCAGGAGTTATATACTGTACATATAGAGCAGGAGTTATATACTGTACATATAGGGCAGGAGTTATATACTGTACATATAGACAGGAGTTATATACTGTACATATAGGCAGGAGTTATATACTGTACATATAGAGCAGGAGTTATATACTGTACATATAGACAGGAGTTATATACTGTACATATAGACAGGAGTTATATACTGTACATATAGACAGGAGTTATATACTGTACATATAGGACAGGAGTTATATACTGTACATATAGACAGGAGTTATATACTGTACATATAGACAGGAGTTATATACTGTACATATAGACAGGAGTTATATACTGTACATATAGAGCAGGAATTATATACTGTACATATAGACAGGAGTTTGTATATACTGTACATATAGACAGGAGTTATATACTGTACATATAGAGCAGGAGTTATATACTGTACATATAGGACAGGAGTTATATACTGTACATATAGAGCAGGAGTTATATACTGTACATATAGACAGGAGTTATATACTGTACATATAGACAGGAGTTATATACTGTACATATAGAGCAGGAGTTATATACTGTACATATAGACAGGAGTTATATACTGTACATATAGGACAGGAGTTATATACTGTACATATAGACAGGAGTTATATACTGTACATATAGGACAGGAGTTATATACTGTACATATAGGAGCAGGAGTTATATACTGTACATATAGAGCTTATATACTGTACATATAGGACAGGAGTTATAGTGGCACATTTTCACGACCAAGATCACGCAACCAGTCGCTGACACGCTCCACGAATGCACTGTATATAGTCATTTTATTTGTGAAGTATTCATTTTGCGTTGCAATTTCATCAAGAGGAAGTGCCAGATTGATGAAGGAATCGTGCGCAGCTTTTGCGTCTTGTTGACATTGCGTGAACACATTGAAAAGTGACGCAACTGAATTTTCATTGTCCTTGGATTTCATCAAAATGTTCAAATCCTCCATAAGCCTTTTAGCTTGTTTAATTTTGGCTTTCCGTTTATCTTGAGTAGTTTGCACGTAAAAGCTCAGACCAGCAGGTGTTAGTTTGGTTTTCCTCTTGACTGACGATTGCACATCCTTTTCTGTGACTGAAATGGCTTTCGACAGGTCCGACATTTTCCCCTTTGGACTTTTGTAGTTCCTTTTTATACAATCCACTGTTTGAATAAATGCGGCACTGAGCAACTATCAACTTTATTTTATTTCACTTGGCTTGTTGCGACTAGTGGTGCGTAATGGTACTGCAGACAATCCTTTCTTTAATCTCCATTGATATCCTTGAATATGGCAGTGTTAATTACTATCTTCAAACTCCAATCGTTTGGCTGTTTTCCATTACAGCATTAGTAATACTCCACATACCATTTGCAGAGGAGACCAGGAGGGCTTTGATTGTTGAGGTGAGGCAGCTGGAGCAATCAGGACCCGAAGGCGATGAATCAAAAAAAAAACTTTACGCAGCCATCCACGCATTTATCCGCAAGAAACCACTCGATTGATGTGATGAATATTCTTGTTGGTTCAAGGGCAAGGTTTTTTACTCGCATGTAGTGACTATTTGTCAAAAAAAAAAAAAAAAAAAATAGACTATCAAACCAAATGTAACCAAACTTAAGAACAAACTCAAATAATCACTAGAATGCACCATGGGTAAGTGGTTTACGCAGTACAAAAAATAAACAATTGTCCATTCCAAAAAATGTAAAGTTCAAAAGGGGTTTATTCATCAAGTTGCAGGCAAACAACACAAAAATGCTGCATCTCCCAGAACTGGTAAAAAACCATAGGCCCACCCAGGTGCATGAAGGCCCGCCCTGTACTGCCCCCTTATATCCCCTAGGTGCCACTAAACCAAAAAACTAAACCGAACTGAAGTAAACCCAAAATAATCTACAAAAATATCTAAATTACCAAAAAACAAAAATACTAACCTCAGCAAAAAATTACTAAATATTGAAAAATATACAAAACCCCAAATAATTACATCAATCAAGCAAATAGCTCCTACACTATTGTTAGCTTTTTGAATGATCAATTTTATTTTTCATTTTTGTTGCTGATCTACTGTATCTACTGTATCTATCTATTGCAGCTGCTTTCACTTAACCTTCTCCATTCTCAGTCTCTGTCACTGGTTCGACCCACATTCTCCTCTGCAGCCGTTATGCTAATCTCGTGCTAACAGTTGTGTGCCAAAGGTTTGTGCTCGGTGTAAGAACAGGACAAACATCATGTTAGTTTTGGTTTGGATCCAGTTTCTTCTCGTGCAATGATTGAGGCTGAAACTGAAGAAGAATTGTTGCATGTTCTTGACTTTTACAGTTTTTCTCAGTGTCTTTGGTGCATTTCTCAGACTTAAAGTTCTCATAACTATTAGTTCAACCTCCACAACATCATCGCAGCAGTTTCTCCTTTGTACAGATTACAAATGCTTTTGTTCATGTATCAGTTACTTTCATACAATTCTCTGCTGTTTTATAACATTATCATTTGCTTCTGTCCTGTCAGTCAGAGTGAAACATACTTATCACTTCTGAATAGTCTTTCACTATAAACCAATAGTCCTCATTTCATTGCTTGAGTCATCACATACAAAACTGTTGAACTAGTTCAAAACCAGTACATACATACAGTACATAAATATATACATACATACATACAGTACATACATACATACAGCACATACATATGTCACAGGGTAGACGCACAGCGCACTTTGTTTTTATGCATGCTTTTATTTTGAAATGTGTTTTGTGTGCCGCACTGTGTGTTTTTACTTCCTGTTTTTTTTATCCTCACACCTGTGGCAGCTTCCACTGATTTTAACAAATGGACATAGACACTGGGGGCTGGAGCCAATGAGAAAAGGGTTTTTAAACAGACTATGGGGGAGGAAGAGAGAGAACACAGGTTGACGACAGAGCGTCTTGGGCGACCGAGGAGAGGAGGCAACGGAGAACGGCAGCAGCAGTCAGCAGTACCTGCACAGGACCCACGGAAAGCCAGAGCGCGACGCGGACTACACGCAGCGGGCAGAGTCTCTCTGCCCGTGCCTGTAAGTAACATTGTAGTGCTCTGCTCGGGCATACGGCTGCTGCTGGCCGATAGAAATCTGTTTTTAAGGCGTTTTACTGTGGGAGACCCGTTTTTGTTTCAGGGAGGGGCCTGGCCAGCCATTCCCTCGTGTGGAGCCAGAGCACGACGTGACATCACCGCAGCGTAAGTGACCTTTAGTGCTCTGGCCGGGATTCATCCCACTTTTAACCTACAGATTTCTATTTTTAAAAAGAACGTTTTACTGCCTCCTGCTCCTCTGGTTTTAGGTCTGCTGCCTTGGGAACGCGGAGTTGCCCCTGTCCTTACTGGACTTTTAACTGGACTTTGCTTTTATATTTTTAGTATTTTATTCTGTAATTTTATTTGTAATAAATTGTTTTATCCCTTTTAAAACTCTGGTTTTTACACTGCTCACCTTGTTTTTAAGAACCTTCCTTTTATTGAGTCCTAGTCTCATTTTTAAAACTAGGTGGCGTTGCTTTCCCTTTTTATATGCTACTCGGCCACACATACATATATACATACAGTATATAGATACACGCATAGATATATTCATACATACATGCAGTACACACAGACAGACAGACAGACATGCATACATACATCCACACATATATACATGCATACATACAAACACATACTGTACATACATACAGTACATACAAACAATTTCCTGCTGCTGAATAATGTTTTTGACCCGTTTCAATCAGGTTTCAGGCCCCACCATAGCACAGAGACTGCCCTGAGAAAAGTGTCCAACGACACCCGCGTCAACAGTGACTTTAGGCAAAGCCACAGTGTTGGTCCTGCTGGATCTCAGTGCAGCCTTTGACACTGTTCCTCCTGCAGAGACTTGAGGGATGGGTTGGCATCACTGGCACTGCCTTGCACCAAGCAAGTCCTATTTAGAGGACAGACAGTACTTTGTTGAGATTGGGGACTGTGTTTCAGACCAGGTGGCCTTAACAAGTGGAGTGCCCCAAGGATCAATTCTGGGCCCCCTTCTTTTTAATATTTATATGTTGCCACTAGGTCAATTGATTGGAGACCAAAATGTATCCTATCACAATTATGCAGATGATACGCAGATTTATGTCTCACTGGCTGCGGGTGAACATGGGCCAGTTGAGTCACTCTGACACTGCATTAAACATGTTGATAACTTCTTCAACTGAAACTTTAATCTGACATTTTCTAAATACTTTATGTTTATTTCTTCTGACATTAACTGAACATTGTGAGAGAAAAGCACTGGCTCCAACCGGATATGACCAAAACAAAAGTATCAGTACAGATGCAGAGATACACCCTCCAAACCACAGCCTTCAGTCCTGTGTGGCTTTGGCAGCAGAATGTGAACATGTGACGGACCATGATGCACTGCTGCTGAGAGAGCCTGTGGCTTCACTGAAGCTGTGAAAAAAACCTGCTTTTCTTCATCAGTTCAATGACGATAAACACAAAACAGACCTGGACATGAATATACAAAAGTGTATTGTGTCTTCTTTATGTTTGAGGCTTGATACGTCAGACTGACCACGCCCCCCGCCGTGCTGTGGCCTCTGGAGAAGTGAGTCCCAAGTGTGAGCCAAGGTGAAGGCCCCTTTGTCTCTGTTGATGGTCCCTGCTCCCAGCATGTATAGTCGGACAGAAGAACATGAATAAAACAGATGGCAGCGAAAGGCGTCTGAAATCAGGAAGTTTCTTTACACTCTTTATTTAAAGAATCTTAAAAGTCTTAGACCTGGAGATGTTTTTAGCTGCATCCACTTTAATTCACTGCAGCTAAAATCTTCCTGATTCATTGACAGATGTTTTAGATGTATGTAAGAACATGCCAAGCTTTGATAGGTTTCTTACTTGCTTTAACAAATGTAAGTTATCCTTCAATAAAAATGAGTTTCTGACTCGAAAAACACAAATATCTGACATTTCCTCTGAAAACAAACAAGTTGAGTTTAAAGTGTTTTATTTCAAAGCAAACAAAAGAGAAAACAAACACATGCCATTCTTCAGAGCGATGAGTTGATGGAAGCGTTTGGGTTCAGAGCTGGGACCTCATTCACAGTGACAGTACCAGACCTTTGTGTACGAGTCGTGGTCTCGCCTGAGTCTCGCTGTGGTCGAACCGGAGGAAGACAGCAACTCCCCAGCTGTGTACGTGAGGCCGTCGTCAGGCTGTAACCAAGGAGAAACTCACAATTTGTTGTATTTAAATCCAAAGACTGCTTCATTCATTCACAGACGACACGTCTGGCTCAGACTTTTACATTTTGTTTACATCGGGTTCCTGTACAACTGAATTGCTCTTGTTGTCATTGTCAGTTCTTTTACTAAAGCTTTTTTATCGATATGTACTACTGCACTACTGCATACTACAGCAGTGGATGTTTATAAAATACGCTTGAAAAATATATCCATTTTAAAGGTACTCTGCAACTCCTTCAGCCGTGGGTAAAACTGCCCGAGGCCTTGTGGTTTTGGCCTTTGATGACTCATTTACTCTAATTATGAGTGGGAACAATCTCTGGACAGTGAAAGTTCGAACTCCAAAGTGGCCAACATGTTGTTTGGTAAATATACCTCAGGTGGAGTCGGTGTCTGATGGTTGGCCTGAATAGACTGTAGAAGGACCATGCAAACTTTTAACCATGTTTGGCCTCAGAGATGACGACCTGGACCATCGTAACAGACGACTGGCTACAGGAATGTACTGCAATCTATGACACTGAATTTCTAACAATTGCTGTGATTGATGCAAGTCGGTATTTGATGTTGGTGTTGGACCACAGTTCAAAGACTAGAAAGTGTAGTACAGAGGAGAAGGCAGGAGTTCAGTCTGACCTGATTGGAGAGAGACAGATGGTCACAGCGCTTCACTTCTGAAATAGACGTATATTCTGGTGTGAGTGTGTGAGATAAAGGACCACTGCTCTGTGGAAATGAAATGGCACTTATGCATTATATAATGTACCTCTTTTCTGGCTGCTTCTCCAAATCCCCCACAGTAGGACACACACCACCAGTCCAAGCACAACGACTGCCACAATCAGGGTGTAGGGCTCGAGACCAGAGAGAACTTTGGTCCCTACTAAAGACAGAAAATACTAATTTATTCTGTTGTTTTCAAGTCTTAAAGTCACTCTGCAAGTCACTCTGGTTCACCTCCCATCTTTCTGGTTGCTCACAATACATCCATCTCAAATCCCACAAACCCCACACTTTTCCTGTCTCTGCTGGTGTGCTCCGTCGTCACAACATTCACTTCCACTGTTACGCGGATGACATCCAGCTCTACCTCTCCACTAAACCCTCTTCCTCTCTCCCTCCATCCTCCCTCACCCTCTGTCTACAAGAAATCTATTCCTGGTTTTCTTCCAACTTCCTCAAACTCAACAGCACTACAACTGAAGTCCTTCTCATAGGCACCCCCTCCACTCTCTCCAAATCTAACAGCTTCTCTATCTCTATCCATAACACATCTGTCCTCCCCTCCCCTCAGGTCAAGAGTCTGGGTGTCATCCTCGACAGTTCACTCTCCTTCCAATCTCACATCAATAACATCACTCGGTTCGCCTACTTCCACTGCGCAATATCTCTCGCCTCCGCCCCTCTCTCACCCCCACACCACCTCCATCCTCGTCCACAGCCTCGTCACCTCAAGGATTACTACTGCAACTCACTTCTCTTTGGCCTCCCCAACAAATCCCTCCAGAAACTGCATCTCCTCCAAAACTCTGCAGCTCCTCCAAAACTCTGCAGCTCGCATCATCACCCGGACCCCCACAGCTCACCGCCATTACCCCCGTACAACAACAACTCCACTGACTTCCTATCAAACAATGCATCAACTTCAAAATACTCCTCACCACTTTCAAAGCACTTCACAACCTGGCCCCTCCGTACCTATCTGACCTCCTCCACCCTGCCACTCCTGCCCGCACACTCCGCTCCTCCTCCACCCTCACACTCTCCGTTCCCCCAGGCAGACTCATCACCGTGGGACACAGAGCCTTCAGCCACTCTGCCCCCCAGGTCTGGAACTCGCTCTCCCCTGACCTCCGTACCATTGACTCTCTTCCACTCTTCAAATCCAGACTCAAAACCCATCTGTTCAGACTGTCCTACCCCACCTAACACACACGAACCCACCATCCCATAAAATAACATACAATACAACCTGGTCTCAAAGAAGGCTTTTGAAAGAAGTTTACTGTAAAGTGTGAGAAATCTGGTTTTATTATTATCACTGTTTTAAGGATTGGCAAAGAAGTCTTTGTTAAAGAACTTCCTGATTGCCTCAGAAAAAGAGAGGAAAGAGACACATATGAGATATTTGTTCTGTACCGTACACATGGTCCTGATCCAGCTCCAGAACAGTGCCTGATCCAAAGAGAACACCAACAGAGCTGAAGATTCCACAGTAGTACGTGCCGACATCCTCCTTCCTCATCTGCTTTATGGTCAAAGTGGTTTTATCTTCAGAAGAGTTCAGTAAATAATGATCATCTTTTATTGAATTTCCCTCAGACATGACATTTGTTGAAGCGAGCAGAAGTAGACTCCTGTTGATGATGAGTTTGTACCACACTCTACTTTTCGAATAACTTTTGGTCAGACATTTCATTTCTACGGTTTCTCCAAGCTTTGCGTTTTTCAGACGTTCCAGTTGCTGTATTTCTCGTGACTGAGTTGCACCTGAAACACAAAACAAATCATTTTCCAAAGTCTGAGATAAAATAATAAATTGTGGGATCTTACTCACAGAAAGCAGAGAGCAGAAGAACACAGACTCCTCTCAACAGCTTCATTGTGCAGAAGACAGTGGTGCCCTGGAGTTTCAGGGTCAACATGAGCAGTGGAAGAGTTTTACACATGTGAGTGGAGCCTTCTGATTGCACGGCAGATTTTCATACCACACCACTGACTGAAGCAGTTATCTGATCATTAAACCCTAACCCTTTCTTTAGCTTCTTCTGTTGTTTCTAGTTTATTTTGCAGAATTGTCTTTGTGGTTTGGCATTAGCAAACCACAGACTATGACTATGCACATTCTGTGCAACAATTATTATGAATCCTCCGCACTCAGAATAAATCTTTCTAAACTTGAACAGTTTATGATTTTAAACAAATGTATTGTCTCTAAATAAGTTCTAAACTCTTCTGTGGGAAAGTCCAGTTTCTTCCTCTAATGACAGATTATCAATAGTATATTTGATTGATATTGACATTGATTTGAGTCTTTTAGACACCATTTAAACAGAATGATACATGGATGCAAAATAACTTTCTTTAGTTAAACCAAAACAGAACTGAAGTTATTGTGTTTGGCCCACAGAAATTCAGAGAAAGTGTTTGCACCATTCTCCAATCCTTTTCTCTGTCTCCAAATTACAAAAATCAGGTTAGAAATCTGGGCATAATCATGGACTCGGACCTCAATTTCAATAATCACATTAAATCTGGGGGCGACAGTAGCTCAGTTGGTAGAGCATTGGCCTTTAGGCCTGAAGGTTGTAGGTGCGATCCCACTTTGACACCGTCTCCACCGACTCTCACTGATGACTGCTGTCGTTGTGTCCTTGGGCAAGACACTTAACCCCACTTTGCCTGAAGCCCCCACTGAAGGATCAAGTCTATGCTCACACTTACGGAGCAGCCGTCCTCCTGTGGACTCACCACCTGCAGGAGGATCAGTGAGGGGCTGGTGCTGTGTAACTTGGGTGGCATCTCTGATTGCCACCCCCACGACCCAGACATGGATTAAGGGGTAGAAAATGGATGGATGGATGGACAATAAATCTGTGACATCAACAGCTTTCTACCATCCAAAGAACCTTGCTAGAATTAAGGGCATAATGTCCAAAGCAGACTTGGAGATTCTCATTCATGCTTTTGTTTCTAGTAGGTTAGACTACTGCAATGGCCTTCTCTCTGGTCTGTCCAAAAGAGCTGTAAAACAGCTGCAGTATATGTCCTGACTAGAACCCGGAAGTACAACTACATTGGTCCAGTCCTCAGGTCTCTTCACTGGCTTCCTGTAGCTCAGAGAATAGACTTTAAATCAGCTCTCCTTGTATATAAGTCTCTCCACGGCCTCGCACCAAAATACATATGCAACATGCTGGTGCTGTACGAGCCCGCTCGAACTCTGAGGAGCGCGGGGACTGACCTCCTGTTGGTGCCCAGAGTTGGGACTAGACATAGGGAGACAGCGTTCCAGACCTATGCACCTAGAATCTGGAACAGTCTTCCCGAAGGTGTGAGACAGGCTCCTACCTTAGCTACAGTATGTTCAAAAACAGTATGTTCAAAAACAGTATGTTCAAAAACAGTATGTTCAAAAACAGTTATTTTCATAATTTTATTTTTGATATGTATATTTATTCATTTTCTTAAACTGTCTTTTGTATTTGTTTTTACAGTGTATTTTTAAATTGGTTTTAAATGTTGTCGACGTGAAGCACTTTGGGCTACATTCTGTATGAACTGTGCTATAGAAATAAAAATTGATTGATTGATACGCACATACAGTACATATATGTTAGTTACCTCTCTAAATACAGTCTTTGTGTAACTTTACTGTAGTTTTTACTGTAAATGGCTGTATAGGTCATGTATAGTGTGCTCAAGTGTCAACAAGATCTGACTTTTTTACATTGAAAACACTTGAGCTTCATTCTTATTTCTAATCTTGCTTGAACAGGATTTGAACAAATGTTTTTTGACGACTAAGCAAGTAGTTCTCTCTCATTTGTGTTTCAAAATGGCCACTGCTGAGTTTCCCTTTGGTTGTGGTGTCACTACGACCTAGAAACACAATTTGACTTCATGAAAAAAACGCTAAAAACTGAGATGCTTGGAGATATTTTATTGGTACATGTGTGTGAGTCTTCAGGACATGCTGTAGAACAAACAGGAGAACACGTTCACCAGATCCAGGAACTCCTCCAAGTCCAACAGACCGTCTCCATCACAGTCCAGCTCCTCCATCATCTGATCCGCCAGCTCCTCCTCGTCCTCCTGCATAAAACAACACGTTTACTTTATCTACTTTATCTACTTATCCTGCCCTATATGTACAGTGTATAACTCCTGCTCTATATGTACAGTATATAACTCCTGCTCTATATGTACAGTATATAACTCCTGTCCTATATGTACAGTATATAACTCCTGCTCTATATGTACAGTATATAACTCCTGCTCTATATGTACAGTATATAACTCCTGCCCTATATGTACAGTATATAACTCCTGCTCTATATGTACAGTATATAACTCCTGTCTATATGTACAGTATATGACTCCTGCTCTATATGTACAGTATATAACTCCTGCTCTATATGTACAGTATATAACTCCTGCTCTATATGTACAGTATATAACTCCTGTCTATATGTACAGTATATAACTCGTGTCCTATATGTACAGTATATAACTCCTGTCTATATGTACAGTATATAACTCCTGTCTATATGTACAGTATATAACTCCTGTCCTATATGTACAGTATATAACTCCTGTCTATATGTACAGTATATAACTCCTGCTCTATATGTACAGTATATAACTCCTGCTCTATATGTACAGTATATAACTCCTGTCTATATGTACAGTATATACAGTAGCTCCTGTCTATATGTAGAGTATATAACTCCTGTCCTATATGTACAGTATATAACTCCTGCTCTATATGTACAGTATATAACTCCTGCTCTAATATGTACAGTATATAACTCCTGTCTATATGTACAGTATATAACTCCTGTCTATATGTACAGTATATAACTCCTGTCTATATGTACAGTATATAACTCCTGTCTATATGTACAGTATATAACTCCTGTCTATATGTACAGTATATAACTCCTGTCCTATATGTACAGTATATAACTCCTGTCTATATGTACAGTATATAACTCCTGTCTATATGTACAGTATATAACTCCTGTCCTATATGTACAGTATATACCTCCTGCTCTATATGTACAGTATATAACTCCTGCCTATATGTACAGTATATAACTCCTGCTCTATATGTACAGTATATAACTCCTGCCCTATATGTACAGTATATAACTCCTGCTCTATATGTACAGTATATAACTCCTGCTCTATATGTACAGTATATAACTCCTGCTCTATATGTACAGTATATAACTCCTGCTCTATATGTACAGTATATAACTCCTGTCTATATGTACAGTATATAACTCCTGTCTATATGTACAGTATATAACTCCTGTGCTATATGTACAGTATATAACTCCTGCTCTATATGTACAGTATATAACTCCTGCTCTATATGTACAGTATATAACTCCTGTCTATATGTACAGTATATAACTCCTGTCTATATGTACAGTATATAACTCCTGTCCTATATGTACAGTATATAACTCCTGTCTATATGTACAGTATATAACTCCTGTTCTATGTGTACAGTATATAACTCCTGTCTATATGTACAGTATATAACTCCTGTCTATATGTACAGTATAAACTCCTGTCTATATGTACAGTATATGACTCCTGCTCTATATGTACAGTATATAACTCCTGTCTATATGTACAGTATATAACTCCTGCTCTATATGTACAGTATATAACTCCTGTCTATATGTACAGTATATACAGTAGCTCCTGTCTATATGTAGAGTATATAACTCCTGTCCTATATGTACAGTATATAACTCCTGCTCTATATGTACAGTATATAACTCCTGCTCTATATGTACAGTATATAACTCCTGTCTATATGTACAGTATATACCTCCTGCTCTATATGTACAGTATATAACTCCTGTCTATATGTACAGTGTGTAACTCCTGCTCTATATGTACAGTATATAACTCCTGTCTTATATGTACAGTATATAACTGCTGCTCTATATGTACAGTATATAACTCCTGCCCTATATGTACAGTATATAACTCCTGTCCTATATATACAGTATATAACTCCTGCTCTATATGTACAGTATTAAACTCCTGCCCTATATGTACAGTATATAACTCCTGTCCTATATATACAGTATATAACTCCTGCCCTATATGTACAGTATATAACTCCTGTCCTATATGTACAGTATATAACTCCTGCTCCTGCTCTATATGTACAGTATATAACTCCTGCTCTATATGTACAGTATATAACTCCTGTCTATATGTACAGTATATAACTCCTGTCTATATGTACAGTATATAACTCCTGTCCTATATGTACAGTATATAACTCCTGTCTATATGTACGGTATATAAACTCCTGCTCTATATGTACAGTATATAACTCCTGCTCTATATGTACAGTATATAACTCCTGTCTATATGTACAGTATATACAGTAGCTCCTGTCTATATGTAGAGTATATAACTCCTGTCCTATATGTACAGTATATAACTCCTGCTCTATATGTACAGTATATAACTCCTGCTCTATATGTACAGTATATAACTCCTGTCTATATGTACAGTATATAACTCCTGCTCTATATGTACAGTATATAACTCCTGCTCTATATTTACAGTATATAACTCCTGTCTATATGTACAGTATATAACTCCTGTCTATATGTACTGTATATAACTCCTGTCCTATATGTACAGTATATAACTCCTGTCTATATGTACAGTATATAACTCCTGCTCTATATGTACAGTATATAACTCCTGTCTATATGTACAGTATATACCTCCTGCTCTATATGTACAGTATATAACTCCTGTCTATATGTACAGTATATAACTCCTGCTCTATATGTACAGTATATAACTCCTGCCCTATATGTACAGTATATAACTCCTGCTCTATATGTACAGTATATAACTCCTGCTCTATATGTACAGTATATAACTCCTGTCTATATGTACAGTATATAACTCCTGTCTATATGTACAGTATATAACTCCTGTCCTATATGTACAGTATATAACTCCTGTCGATATGTACAGTATATAACTCCTGTTCTATGTGTACAGTATATAACTCCTGTCTATATGTACAGTATATAACTCCTGTCTATATGTACAGTATATAACTCCTGTCTATATGTACAGTATATGACTCCTGCTCTATATGTACAGTATATAACTCCTGCCCTATATGTACAGTATATACCCCCTGCTCTATATGTACAGTATATAACTCCTGTCTTATATGTACAGTATATAACTGCTGCTCTATATGTACAGTATATAACTCCTGCTCTATATGTACAGTATATAACTCCTGTCTATATGTACAATATATAACTCCTGTCCTATATGTACAGTATATAACTCCTGCCCTATATGTACAGTATATAACTCCTGTCCTATATGTACAGTGTGTAACTCCTGCTCTATATGTACAGTATATAACTCCTGTCTTATATGTACAGTATATAACTGCTGCTCTATATGTACAGTATATAACTCCTGCTCTATATGTACAGTATATAACTCCTGTCTATATGTACAATATATAACTCCTGCTCTATATGTACAGTATATAACTCCTGCCCTATATGTACAGTATATAACTCCTGTCCTATATATACAGTATATAACTCCTGCTCTATATGTACAGTATATAACTCCTGCCCTATATGTACAGTATATAACTCCTGTCCTATATATACAGTATATAACTCCTGCCCTATATGTACAGTATATAACTCCTGTCCTATATATACAGTATATAACTCCTGCTCCTGCTCTATATGTACAGTATATAACTCCTGCTCTATATGTACAGTATATAACTCCTGTCTATATGTACAGTATATAACTCCTGTCTATATGTACAGTATATAACTCCTGTCCTATATGTACAGTATATAACTCCTGTCTATATGTACAGTATATAACTCCTGCTCTATATGTACAGTATATAACTCCTGCTCTATATGTACAGTATATAACTCCTGTCTATATGTACAGTATATACAGTAGCTCCTGTCTATATGTAGAGTATATAACTCCTGTCCTATATGTACAGTATATAACTCCTGCTCTATATGTACAGTATATAACTCCTGCTCTATATGTACAGTATATAACTCCTGTCTATATGTACAGTATATACCTCCTGCTCTATATGTACAGTATATAACTCCTGTCTATATGTACAGTGTGTAACTCCTGCTCTATATGTACAGTATATAACTCCTGTCTTATATGTACAGTATATAACTGCTGCTCTATATGTACAGTATATAACTCCTGCCCTATATGTACAGTATATAACTCCTGTCCTATATATACAGTATATAACTCCTGCTCTATATGTACAGTATATAACTCCTGCCCTATATGTACAGTATATAACTCCTGTCCTATATATACAGTATATAACTCCTGCCCTATATGTACAGTATATAACTCCTGTCCTATATGTACAGTATATAACTCCTGCTCCTGCTCTATATGTACAGTATATAACTCCTGTCTATATGTACAGTGTGTAACTCCTGCTCTATATGTACAGTATATAACTCCTGTCTTATATGTACAGTATATAACTGCTGCTCTATATGTACAGTATATAACTCCTGCTCTATATGTACAGTATATAACTCCTGTCTATATGTACAATATATAACTCCTGCTCTATATGTACAGTATATAACTCCTGCCCTATATGTACAGTATATAACTCCTGTCCTATATATACAGTATATAACTCCTGCTCTATATGTACAGTATATAACTCCTGCCCTATATGTACAGTATATAACTCCTGTCCTATATATACAATATATAACTCCTGCCCTATATGTACAGTATATAACTCCTGTCCTATATGTACAGTATATAACTCCTGCTCTATATGTACATTATATAACTCCTGCTCTATATGTACAGTATATAACTCCTGTCTATATGTACAGTATATAACTCCTGTCTATATGTACAGTATATAACTCCTGTCCTATATGTACAGTATATAACTCCTGTCTATATGTACAGTATATAACTCCTGCTCTATATGTACAGTATATAACTCCTGCTCTATATGTACAGTATATAACTCCTGTCTATATGTA